TGAATCGCGAGGAAGTCTCGAGCGATAGCGCGATTCCCATATAATTCTTGAGAAATCCACAACGACAGCGTGATTTCTGAATGTCGAGGGCGCGGCGTCGGAATAATTGCGAGGGTGTCCCACGAGAAAGCGCGATTCCTGTGCAAATTGAGCGGACGTCCCGCGCGAGAGCGCGATTCGGGAACAAATGGTGGGGGCTGGCATCAGGAGCGAGCCACTGTTGTTGTCAGCCAGGGGTCCGGGGCGCAGTTTGGTGACCCCACAGTGTCCCTGGTAATTATCCCGGCAAAGCAACCTAACAGCGATGTGCAGAGAAGCATATCTGGAAGCATTTCCTTTAAGATTTAGGTGAGAATCCAGTTGTAGAATTCTGCTGTTCTCGCAGACGCAGCCTCAGCCTGCCTCGGCGTGCCTCGGCCTCAGCCTCAGCCTGCCTCGGCCTCAGCCTCAGCCTCAGCCTGCCTCAGCCTCAGCCTCAGCCTGCCTCAGCCTCAGCCTGCATCAGCCTCAGCCTCAGCCTGCCTCAGCCGCAGCTTGCATCAGCCTCAGCCACAGCCTCAGCCTCAGGCTCAGCCTGCCTCAGCTTCAGCCTCAGCCTCAGCCTGCCTCGGCTTGCCTCGGCCTCAGCCTCAGCCTGCCTCGGCCTCAGCCTCAGCCTCAGCCTGCCTCAGCCTCAGCCTCAGCCTTCCTCAGCCTTAGCCTGCATCAGCCTCAGCCTCAGCCTGCCTCAGCCGCAGCCTGCATCAGCCTCAGCCTCAGCCTCAGCCTCAGCCTCAGCCTTCAGCCTCAGCCTCAGCCTCAGCCTGCCTGCCTCGGCTTGCCTCGGCCTCAGCCTCAGCCTGCAGCCTGCCTCAGCCTCAGCCTCAGCCTGCCTCAGCCTCAGCCTGCATCAGCCTCAGCCTCAGCCTGCCTCAGCCGCAGCTTGCCTCAGCCACAGCCTCAGCCTCAGCCTCAGCCTCAGCCTCAGCTTCAGCCTCAGCCTCAGCCTGCCTCGGCTTGCCTCGGCCTCAGCCTCAGCCTGCCTCGGCCTCAGCCTCAGCCTCAGCCTCAGCCTGCCTCAGCCTCAGCGTCAGCCTCAGCGTCAGCCTCTCAGCCTCAGCCTGCATCAGCCTCAGCCTCAGCCTCAGCCTGCCTCAGGCTCAGTCTCAGCCTGCCTCAGCGTCAGCCTCACAGTTGGCTCCGGGCAATCAAAATGTAGCCTGGGAATGGTGTTCTGGGAACACGAAGAACACGAAGTGGCCTACAGTTAGCTCCGGGCAATCAAAATGTGGCCCGGGAATGGTGTTCTGGGAACACGAAGAACACGAAGTGGCCTACAGTTGGCTCCGCGCACTCAAAATGTGGCCCGGGAATGGTGTTCTGGGAACACGAAGAACACGAAGTGGCCTACAGCTGGCTCCGGGCATTCAAAATGTGGCCCGGGAATGGTGTTCTGGGAGCACGAAGATCACGAAGTGGCCTACAGTTGGCTCCGGGCATTCAAAATCATGCCCAGGAATGGAGTTCTGGGAACTGGGAACTCGAAAACCACGAAGTGCGTTATTGTTTGCTTAAAACGAATTCCCCGGCATCCTTCCCCGGATCGCGCCCAGACCCCTCTGGGGCGTCATGATGCTCTCTCTGTTTGGACCCTACTAGAAACTTGTCAGTCTTCGCTGTTAGGTAAAAACACAGGGTGCGCCCAGGAAGGAGCCCTTTTAATTGAAATACGCAATGGGTACTGGACTTCGTGGGCCCTGGAAACGACAGGGCCGTTTTTTGACCGGTTCCGTTTTGCCGTTTTTGTTGCCGGTTCCGACGCCGTTTTTTACCGGTTCCGTCGCCGTGTTTTGACCAGTTCCTGCTCCGGTTTGGAGCCGTCTTTTTGCCGTTTCCGGTCGCCTTTTTTTTGCCGTTTCCATTTTCAAGGGATTTTTTCTTCGAAATGGTGAAAAAACGGCCTTGCCGTTTCCAGGGCCCGCAAAGGTACTGGAGGGGGGGATCAACCACAATTGTTCTTTAGAAGTGTGAGAATCCAACATCAATCCGCACGGCGGAACCTCACTTCAGCCACGCGCCGAGGGGCAGTGAATGACCGCTCGGCCCCCTCGCTCTGAGGTGCGCAAGTACAGGAAGGTAATCAAACGTAGGTGGTATACTCGCATAGGTAGCGCCACCGGTAGGTGTGATGGTACGCACACGCAACGGTGGAGCTTGAGCGTTGGAGTTGTAGCGTTGCATCTGATGACGAGCGTACACGTTAATCATTTGCAGATATGACAGTCAGTACATGTAAGAGCCGATGTAATCATAAAGCGGGAGCTCATTGCACCCACGCGTGTGAACACCGTTACATTGCCAGACGTGGTGAAGCCTTTCTGGTTGTTCAGGTGATGCCACCGTGATGCAGCTGATACCAGACTGTTGCCTTTCTTGGGCTCTACAATTTCTGAGCATGATGAATATGACTATCCTTCTTCGGTTCTCGCATTGGTATAGGGATGGGCGTTGGCATGGGTGG